CCCACAGCAACCCGATAGGGTTTCTGAGAAGCAGCTAGTGAGCTTAAACTGCCGACCTTGTTGTTCAAGCCAACTTTGCAGTCCAGCGCATGAACCCACAGCACTACACCATAAAACCTGAGACCATGTATCAAAAAGCTATGCCAAGATCTTAAAGGCAATCATGTCTTTAATCACAAGAAAACACATAGGCATTTTAAAGAAAACCTATAGAGCTGCCAGGTTAGAATATAAAAGGAAATAAAAGCAGTATAATAGCCACTATTCATGATATCAATTCAGTACTACTGGAGGAGACCAGGGCCATTCTTTGATGTTAACATCAAACATGAGGCAGCTCCAAAACAAACAAAAAATCACATACTATCAATCTAGTGTCTTTGACTTGACTTCATTCTTGGTGCTACATTTTTTTAATTTGAATTTCCTCTCAGAGTAAAGAGTTCCATAAGGCATAAAATAGAGCCTCTTAGGACTACTTCAACTAATCAGAGTTTGTGGACTAAATCTAAGTTCACTCATTCAAATATCGCATGGTTTTCAAAACAAGGATTCTAAGATGAGCAAAAGAATGACTATTTCCTTAAAAACAAAAGGAGTCCACTCTAGTCATATTTATACAAACCTTCAACAGCTTGATATTAGGTAAGATAAAACAACAAATCTAGAACCTGATTTGAACATGCATTTCTAAGAATGTGAGTAATCATCACACTTTTGCTGTCTGTGGATGGAAGGCTAGTGAATGCTGCTGAGATAGAGGGGTTATCAATCCACCATAAAGAAATGTAACAGTCCATAAAAGAGGCATTGGCAATACCACTGAAAGCAATTAGACAAATGTAGGCACCTAAGCAAGAGGCCATTAAACAAATCATGTCAAGGGGGAAGAAAAAGGGGGGGAGGATGTTTTCATTGGCGAGCAGACAAAAGGATGCACATCCAACAAATGCTAGTCTGTGTGTCACTGAAGTATCTAGCACTGTGCAGAAGTCCATGAAAGACACACAGGTAGTAAGACAGAATCTTTACCCTTATCACCCCAAGAAGATAAGGTGCCCACAAATGAAACATTTAGAACAAGTTAGTGTAAATCTATGTTCTGAAAACAATAAATTCTATTCAGGATTCAGAAAAAACAGACTAGAACAATGGAAAGGGATTAAGAGCCAGGAATCACAAAAGTTAAGATACAAACTAGAATCTATCCACAAATTCACCTCGATTCAAATTACTTTTAATCTCAGGTTTGTCATTAACCACACATATAATCTCACAAATTACCATCAAGTTTGTTTTCTCACATGGAAATTTGTTGTTGTTGTTAAGTGCTATCGAGTAGGTTCTGACCCCTAGCGACCCTGTATAGGGTTTCCCAGGAGCAGCTAGTGAGCTTGAACCACCGACCACATGTAAAGTAAGTATATATAATTCAAAGAGGAGTCCCAGGTCTTGAAGCTGAAACAGAACTTAGAGGTTACAGGAGCACTTGGTGGTGTTGTTAGTAGCTGATGAGTCTGCCGCTAACTCCTGGTAACCCCAGCTCCAATCCTGCACCATCCCCATGATAGGTTGTGGATTAGACTGTTGTGATACATAGAGCTTTTGTTGGCTGACTTTTGGTACCTGATCACCAGGTTCTTCTTCCTGGTTCATCATAGTCTAGAAGCTCCACTGACACCTGGTCAGCATCAACAGCAGCAAGCAAGCTTCCACTGACACATGCAGTGACTGCAAATAAGGTGCACTGGCCGGGAATTGAACCTGGTCTCCTACATGGAAGACAAGAATTCTGCACTAAACCACCAGTGCTCCATAAGCGTGATCTCGGATGATGACAGCTGAAATTCATCCACAAAAAACTGTGTAAATGTTCAGTGGAGTATCTGAACTGGGAGGGACCCGGCAAAGCAATATGGACCAAACCCTGAGGAACCCAATTCAAAAACGAAGACTTAGCCTTGTGTCAGGCAATGTAACTTTTGATAAAATTTTGAGGTTAAACTGAAGCAGTAACAACACTTTTAAGAACTATTAAGAGAAAGGTAGAGAGAGACATCCACAAACTATAACAGTACAATGACAGACTTAAGCAAGAGATTTAGTAATTCAGTCTAGCCGTTAGCCATGAAGAAATGTCAACAGTCAGGCTGTCATAATTGAGATAAGAGAGTTTGATTTAGCAAAGGCATTACACAGCTCACAATGGCAGTTCTCCCTCCAAGAATCATCTTTGAAAATAGCAGCCACCTTCACAAACCATACAGAAAAGCATGCAACAAACATTTTACATCCGTCTTGGTTACAGTCACAAGCCTGGGAGCAACACCAGAAGGAAGAAATTACACTAGATGGTGCTAAAAATATTGAATAAGCCCCTGCCTCTGTACTCCTGTTTACTCAGTTAAATGATGTTTTAACTTGGGAGGCTAGTGGGTAGGGGCAAGTTATAACTTCATGACTGCATTTACCAATTAATTAACTCTGGACTCGTTTTTCCAAACCTGGAAAAGATAGAAGTTGAAAAGCATGTCCTGTAGCAAATAGTGATCAGGATCATGTATGCTCCTTGGCTCTGATGACCATAGTTATTACAGCAGAACAAAAGTGGCAAAAGCTGGCCCTATGATCCAGTCCAATGCAGAGTGCCATCTGCTGCATATACACAGGATGTCTCTGTGCAAGATTCAACCTTAGTGTCTCACAGGCACCTTTAGATGAGTATTTTTTTCCGGCAAGTTGGGATGTCACAAATCAACATCTACTGGCAGGCAAGATCCCATTCATAGAGTTTTAAAATACCAAGACTTTCCTAACAAACAGGTAACAGTTTTTACAAGGAAGGAGAACCATATGAAGGAATAATTACACTTTGCAATAAAAAGAACACGATACTGGGTGGGAGTCCAAAATCTGGTACATATTAGAGATCCAACCGTGGCCAGCTCCACCCCCCACCACCACCACCTCCCACCCCCACACACACACACTTTCTGGACTTCAATTCAGGCATAAAATGTCAAAAGCCAAGAGTCATATCGATTTCTAAGATCCCTAATGCCCTGGGAAGAATCAGACAATATCAAATGGAGATAACTGTATACATTATAGCTTCATAGTAATGGTAGAAAAAGAAAACTTATTTACATATTTTAATTAATCGGATTCAACCTTTTTCAAAATATTACCATGCTAAGTTCATTTACAGGTCACCATTCTCATAACATTTCTGCCCTTCAGAAATAACACTTCATTGTAATTTTGCATTCAGTTACAAATTCAGCACATCACTTTTCCCTACCCCAGAATAGCATATAGAACACGCTCTTAAAGTACCCCCACAAGGAAGACACTCACAGCCTGTCAGATTCACACAGTGGAAAATATATGAGACCAAAAAAAACCAAAGCAAAATAAATACCACACCCGAATACCCTTTAAAAACTGCAGTCTGAATTCTTATTAAAATATGTACAGAAAGACAACTGGACAAGTCTCTTACAAATTGGGGATGCAATCAGACTATGATTTAAGAGAACAAAAACATAACTGGAGGCTATGAAACATGCAAATCTAAATTGCACTGTGGAAAAGCTCGGCTCTCACCCAAAGCTTCAGCAAAGCAATATGCCAGTATGCCAAATGTGACAAACTACAATTTTCTCACAAGTATGCGGAGAGGGTCCACCATACTAATGACTAATAACACCAATACCACCTTGTACTTGCAAAACATTTGTTCTTACTACAGCTCTTGCAAACACTTAATTTGCTGCTGTAATTGATCTTGGGGTACGCTCTCTGAAAACCTCCAGTTCAGTTTCCTCTCAAGAGCTATGCAGCAGAACAAGACAGGTGGATTTATTTGAGAGCTGGTGTTACTGGTTTCTCCTACCAGGCTATCTGCAGCGATCTTATGACCATACTACATTAACTTAGCCCTGGGAAATCAAACCTATACTCTTTCCCTCAGAATTGGACAGAGACCAACACACATGGGTCCAGAAAGTCCAAGGGAAGAGAACTCGATGACTTATTAGATCATGAACTCCATGCTAAGTTGATCTCTTGATCAACTTAGCAACTGAAAAAAAAAAAAAAGAAATCACAACACACACATATACAAAAGATCAAGCCCGTTGAAATAGAAACTCCCTTTCGTTGCCAGCCAATTCAATGAATGCCAGCCAAAGAAACCCAGCAATACTGGTTAATACAACCACTAAAATCTACTCCGGGAACAACTTGTCACAGCCCTTTCTCTTCTGTCTGCTACCCATCCAACAAGCTTATAAACCAGCCTTCTACTAGGACCACCGAGGACCTCTATGGCACCTTATGGAGCTTGCCTCTTGAAGCAATGCAGCATCCATCTCTAAGGAGCTGGTTGCCTATGCACACACACGCAGGGAGTCACCGAATGGATAAAGTTTGATTTTTCTTCTTGCCCATCCCCCGAGGGCCGAGAGAGGGCGAGAGAGTGGCCCCTCTCAAGTCCTGGGTTGCTCTCCGGGGACAGTTCCCAGCAGCATGGCACTGACATGCACAAGGCTGCCGCGGCAACTCAGGACACCCCAACCCGCCTGGAGGAGGAGGGAAAGGGGACAACTTGCACGGGGCCCCGTTCGGAGCATTGGGACAGAGCTCTTAAGAAAGAAGGAGGGAGGGACCGAGATCTGGGGCGGGTCATCAGGAGGTTCAAGTCCCGTCCCTTCCCCGCCCTGGTGTCCCCGGTCCTGCGGGAACATCCCCGCCGTCGCCCCTCCTCCTCCTCACG